CTGGACGGCCAGCCCCCTGCGGTCCTAGTGCTGGATTCAGGCCCTGAGGGGCTGAGGCCTTTCCCTCGTGTGTGATACAAGCACCAAGTTGTTGCTGCAAGTTTGGATCCTGGATAAAGGGGCTCTAAAGGGGCACTGAGATAGAAGACTTCTGGGCAGAGGTGTACCATCTGAGCAGGAAAGCAGCGCAGACACCTTGAGAAATGACTCTTGAGGGCGGAGTCTCGTCCCACGAGGGGCGGGGCTACCTCAAGTTCTTGTGCGCATGCGCTTGTGTAGGCGCAAAGTACACAGGCGTGAAGCGTCTTGTGGGCTTGCTGGCCTAGGCTGTCACTTCCTAAATTCCATGGAGAAGCTACCTCTTGAAGACCCGTGCCCTGGCGAGGTCCTGTCGTGTCCTTCTGACCGTGGCTTTTTTTATACATTGCTTGTGGTATCTAATCGTAACCATAAAATTCATAATACTGTATTCAAATTTTATTTCCCATGATCAGCAGAAAAATGACAAAGGTACAAATATTTTAATACAGCCCCACGGTACTTTTATTCTGTTGAAGCATTATTGATTTACAGTGTTGTGTTAATTTCTGCTGTACAGTAAACTGACTCAGTTATATACGTGTATATGTGTTTTTTCATATTCTTTCCCATTATGGTTTGCTGCAGGATATTAAATATAGTTCCCTGAGCTATATAGTAGGGCCTTGCTGTTTACACACCCTATGTATAATAGCTTGCATCTGCTCCCCAAACTTCCAATACTTCCCTCCCCTGCCCTGTCCCTAGGTTCTTGTTCAACTTAACAGTCACAGAGACCTCTCTGACTTTGATTATTTAGAGCCATGTCTTCTGACAGATAGTGATGTCTTTTTTTAAAAAATTTTATTGAAATACAGTTGATTTCCAATATTGTGTTATAACAGATAATGATGTTTTATGTGTGATAGTGTGAAATCATGGGAAATATATTTATTACTCTCTGCCCCTGGTTCCTGGCACAGAGCACCAAAACGCTTATGATTTCCTAAGTGATGAGAGCACTAGGTGCATCTTTTGTTCTAATTTTGGTCTTTGATTCCTGACATAGGGCACCAAATCCTTTAGAATTTCCCAGAGTGATAGGAGTGTCTTTTGTATTAATGAGACAAATCTTGATGGACTCCTGGATGGGTGCTAGTCACCAGAAAGACCAGTATATGATTAGAAGGTGGGAACTTTCCATTCCTCACTTCCTACCCAGTCTCCAGAGAAAGGAGGAGTAATAATGAAGTTAATGATCAATCATGCCTATGTGGGACTTCCCAGGAGGTCCTGTGGTTAAGACTCCCAAACTACTACTGCAGGGGGCACAGGTTCCATCCCTGGTTGGGGAAATAAGATCCTGCAGACCATGAGTATGACCAAAAAGAGAAAAAAAGAGTTCCTTGTAGAAATTCCCTAATTGCCCAGTGGTTAGGACTCTGCACTTCTACTGCAGGAGGGGCATGAGTTTGATTCCTGGTAGGGTATTCTTCAAGCTGTTCAGTGTGGCCAAAAAGAAAAACAAACAAACAAAAAATTAGTTCCTTTTTTTCTTTCTTTTTCTTTTTGGCTATGCTATGGAGCTTGCAGAACCTCAGTTCCCCAATCATTAGACCACCAAGGAACTCCCTTCTTATTTTTGAATCTTTAATAATTGGCATCTGTTTGGGGTTTGTTTGTTTTTTTCAAACTTTAAACTGTTTATTTTGTATTGGGGGATAACTTATTAACAATGTTATGGCAGTTTCAGGTGAACAGCAAAGGAACTCAGCCATATGTACATATATTCATTCTCCCTGGCATCTGTTTTTTGATATGACAAGAAGCCCAGGGTGGACCACCCCAAAACGTGCCTCAGTGCAAATTTTGAATTAAGTTTACTTAAGAAACGACCAGTGCAAGGGAGACACTCTGATCCTCCTTTCTATCTCCTAAAAGCAAGAAATAAATCTTTCATGTGGAAGGTTCATTCCCTGCCTCTGGAGGTAGAAGGATGCCCTTATCACCAGAGATAAGAAATCCAGGCAAGATGCCTGTGTAAACAAACCTTGGAAATTCCCTGGCAGTCTAGTGGTTCAGTTCAGTTCAGTTCAGTTCACTCAGTCCTGTCCAATTCTTTGCGACCCCAAGGACTGCAGCACACCAGGCCTGCCTGTCCATCACCAACTCCCGAAGTTTACTCAAACTCATGTCCATTGAGTCGGTGATGCCATCCAACCAACTCATCCTCTGTCATCCCCTTTTCCTCCCACCTTCAGTCTTTCCCAGCCTCAGGATCTTCTCCAATGAGTCAGTTCTTCGCATCAGGTGGCCAAAGTATTGAAGTTTCAGCTTCGGCATCAGTCCTTCCAATTAATATTCAGGACTGATTTCCTTTAGAATGGACTGGTTGGATCTCCTTGCAGTCCAAGGGACTCTCAAAAGTCTTCTCCAACAAAAGCATCAGTTCTTTGGTGTTCAGCTTTCTTTATAGTCCAACTCTCACATCCATACATGACTACTGAAAAAAACCATAGCTTTGACTAGATGAACCTTTGCTGGCAAAGTAATGTCTCTGCTTTTTAATATGCTGTCTAGGTTGGTCATAACTTTTCTTCCAAGGAGCAAAAGTCTTGCTGGTGGTTAGAACTCTGCATTTTCACTACCTAGGGCACAGGCTCAATCCCTGATTGGGGAACTAAGATCCTGCAAAATTCGTGGAGCAGCCGAAACAAAAAAAAAAAAAACAAGAACCCACCACCTTATTACTCTTTAATTTACTATCCAAATACCCAATTCTGTTTAGATTCTTCATTAATCAAGCATACAAAGTCTAAGTTTCTGTGTCCTGTCAATTCCTTGCAAATTTGTTTTTTCTTTCTCCAAAAATTATAAAAGCTGCCTGTTCTGGCCACTTCTTACAACATCCCTATGGGGTTTCCCTGGTGGTTCAGCAGTACAGAAATCTGCCTGCAATGCAAGAGATGCTACCAGAGCCACAGGTTCGATCCGTGGGTCTGGAAGATGCCCTGGAGAAGGAGATGGCAACCCACTCCAGTATTCTTGCCTGGAAAATCTCCTGGACAGAGAAACCTGGCAGGCTACAGTCCATGGGTCGCAAAAGAGTTGGATTCGACTTAGCAACTAAACAACAACAAAAATTAGGTTCCTATGACACCTCTGCGTGCTCAAATTAAAATTTCCTTTTCTTCTTTTATTACCAAAGCAAATGTGGGTCTGCTCACCTGAGTGCAATAAAAGTTTACGGAAAAGGAAAATCTGGAATTTGTATTTTTATTGTAAAAGCACCAGTACAAGGAGCATGAGTGGCTTATGCCCAACAACCTCTAACTTCCTCAGGGTTTTCAGAGAGGAGTTTTATAGGCAGAATTTGAAGCAAAGGCTGCATGTTGTGTGACTCTCATTGGTTGCTGGCGATGCTCCAGGAATCTTGTGCTCAGCCTGAAGTTACCATCCTCCACCTGAGTTGGGGGACTTAGTTCCTGCTGCTGCTGCTGCTGCTGCTGCTGCTAAGTCACTTCAGTCATGTCTGACTCTGTGCGACCCCATAGACGGTAGCCCACCAGGCTCCCCCGTCCCTGGGATTCTCCAGGCAAGAACACTGGCGTGGTTTGTCATTTCCTTCTCCAAGGCATGAAAGTGAAAAGTGAAAGTGAAGTCGCTCAGTCGTGTCCAACTCTTAGCGACCCAATGCACTGCAGCCTACCAGGCTCCTCCGTCCATGGGATCTTCCAGGCAAGATTACTGGAGTGGGGTGCCATTGCCTTCTCCTTAGTTCCTGCAGAAAAGCTCAAAGATATTGTTCTGCATTGAATACATTCCTTGAGGAGGAACAAGGACTCCTGCCCCAAAGCTGCTCTATTGCTTCTCCCTTGTCTCAGCACCCCCTTTCCTTCCCTGATTAGCAATTGAATCTGCCCTTTGGAACTCAGGGAGGGTCTTGGATGCTGAATGAAGCCTCCTTTGGTGCTCAGGGAAGGTCTTGGAGGCTGAAACCTATTTCCTACAAATAGGGGGGGGGGGCTGGAAAGAAGGGGGACACAGAAAAGATCTATCCCGAGAGGGTCTGACAGTGTGCTGCTCCATTTTCACGGGAACTTAAAATAAGCAGGACTATCACTAAGCACATCTGAAACCCAAAAGTTTACCACAACTAGATGTTTGTAAGGTGTTTCTGAACAAGAGGGGATAAACTTGCTCAAGTTATTAAGAAGGCCTACTCAGTATGAGTGGCTGCAGCAGGTTTGTCCTCGGCAGAGTGAGAACTGCAGGTCTGACTGGACGACGACTTGCAAGCATGCACAGTAGTGTCCAACTCTTACAACACCATGGATGCATGCCAGGCTCTTCTGTCCATGGGATTTCCCAGGCAAGAATACTGGAGTGGGTTGCCATTTCCTTCTCTAGGGAATCTGTCCGACCCAGGCATTGAACCCACCTCTCCTGCATTGCACGCGGATTCTTTATCACTGTGCTACCTGCGAAGCCGGCCTGGCTGACCAAGTGATGAGGAATTAACCCTTGACTCATAATCTAATTGTCTATTCCTAAATTATAAAGGTACTCATACTTGTTCGTCCTATCAGACAAAAATTTCATATGGATATATACAGCAGTTATTGTTAAGTATTACTGAATATTAAGTAGCAATCTGTACGTTTAAAATTTGTTAAATCTATTTTTTAAAGGTTATTAAAGCATACCATGTTAGTTTGCTTTTGTAATCTAGGTGACTAATAATTTCAGTTGTGTAAATAAAATCATGTATCGTTTTTAAAAAAAAAGCAAACGGAAGCAACAGGCATGCACAGAATAAACAGTCAAGCTCTTCCAAGCCCTAACAACGCAGCGGCGCTGAGAGCGGAAGCCCTGGCCCCGCCCCTGCTTGGCCCCGTCCAATTAAGCCTTTCAAGCCTCTACGTTCCCGCCCAGTCCAGGCCCCGCCCCCTGGTTGCCCCGCCTCTGGATTGCCCCGCCTCTTGTCTTCGTTCCCCTGCGCAGTTTCCTGCAGACCCGGAAGTGGTTATCGCGGAGCGAAGGTCGCCCTACGGGAGCGTGAGTTTCATCTTTCTTGTTTAAACCTGCGCTTTGCGGTACGCCGTCCTCCATACCTGGGTCTGAGGGTCAGTACGAATCTTAACGTTCCGGCACTCATCCTCCACCCGAAGTAAATACGGACGTCGCCTTGAGAGGGAGGAGGGTTGGGGTGCCGCTTCTCCGTCTTTTTGAAAACCGCGAGCTGTCACCCGTGCGCTGCGCGCCCCCTCAGCCTCGCCCTCTCGGCCCCTGGAGGACAGCGCCAGCTGCCCGGGTGCAGGAGAGGGCGCGTCCTCTTTGTGACGCTGGGGCTCTGGAGAGTTCGCTGCGTTCCCGAGACACACTCACGTCCCTTCACTTCGCACACTCCTCAGCAGAGTCGTACCCACCCCCAGGCCTCTCCCTGTTAGTCACCGCCTCTCCTCAGCTTGCGTTTGGGAAGGAGGCTAAAAACTGCCTGTCTTGAGACACCCAGGATTTTTCTGTCCGAAATTCTACCCCACGGAATAATGTGTTCTATTAATGTGAAATTAATAGGTATCTAATTCCAGGGCTTCCGTAATGGCTCAGTGACCTCAAAAAAGACGTCTGCCAAACAGGAGACGTAGGGGGATCCCTGGGTCGAGAAGATCCCCTGGAGAAGGAAATGGCAACCCACTCCAGTATTCTTGCCTGGGAAATCCCATGGACAGAAGAGCCTGGCGGGCTACAGTCCATGGGGTCACAAAGGAGTCAGACAGACCTAAAAACAATCTAATCCCATGTATCCACTTGGGGGACGGGGGACAGGAGTGCACCACGTAGAAGTTGAGAATTGTATTTTATTTGGCAGACAAAACTGAGGACTTAAGCCTGTAAGACAGCCTCCCAGAGCCCTCAAGAAGTAAGGGAGGAATCAGGGTATATAGGAGTTTTGCAGCAACAAAAACAAAAAACAGGTAGTTGGAACATCAAAAGATTTAAGGAAACCAGACATCTCAAGCTAGTGAGTTTAGTACTTTTCTATGCATAGGAAAATGTTAGCATTTGGGTACATTGAAGTCATTCCTTTGGTATGCAGCTTATCATAGTATCTGGCTTTTATCCAGCCTGAATTCCCTCAGAGTGCACAGTTGGGGTGGCTGCCGTGGCTCTTGCAACATCCTTTATTTAGATAAGGCTGGTGACATTCTTCATCCACAATCCCATACCTGGGACTGACCTAACTGAGAGAATTAGTAAAATGAGGAAAGAAAACTGAAGGGGAACCATCCACAGATGGCACAGAGAAGGATAGATGTTTAGTCACTTAGTCGTGTCCAACTCTTTGTGACCCCATGGACTGTAGCCTACCAGGCTCTTCTGGCTATGGGATTTTCTAGGCAAGCATACTGGAGTGGGTTTCCATTTCCTTCTCCAGAGGATTTTCCTGACCCAGAGATTGAACCCAGATCTCCCACATTGTAGGCAGATGTTTTACTGTCTGAGCCACCAGGGAAGTCCTAAGAAGCGGTTATTGTCCTAAAAAATAAAACAGCAAGTTATTTTACCAGCAGTTGGGTTTATTAAGGAATTGCAAAACAGGACAGGCAAACAGTAGCAGAAAACCATAGACAAGACCAACAAGCCATGATGAGGAATTGCTTAATAGAGAAAAAGGAGAAAGTTGGGAGTAGTTGTTTTGAACAAAAGGCCTTTGGAGGGAAGTAGAGAGTTTGGAAACACAGCCAAGGTGTTTCCCATTGGCTGGGCTCCTGGGTGGAGGATAATTCCTGTTGGGGTTTGTAATTGTCTTCTTGGCATTTGTAATTCCTTTTTTTACTGCCCCCCGCCCCCCGCCAAGGGCTCAATATCTTTTTCTGTTTTGAAATATTTATTTGGTTGCCTTGGGTGTTAGTTGAAACACTGGGAATCTTCTTCGCTGTGACTTGTGGGCTTCCTTGCTCTGGAGCCTGTGGAATGTTAGTTTCCACACCAGGGATCGAACCCTTGTCATCCTTTGCATTGCAAGGGGGATTCTTAACTACTGGACCACCAGGGAAAGTCCCTGTAATTGAACTTCAGTGGTAGTGACTGAGGCCTTTCCCTAAAACCTCCAGACTCCACATTTTCGAAATTTTCTTTGTTCTGTTTCACAGAGTAAAAGAATAAGCTGAGAAAGTAGCAGGGGGAGAAAAGAAGACCAAGATTATTTAGAGTAAGGTTGGGGTGGGGAGGTTCTCCAGGGAGATGAGGGGAGGAAAACAGGGAGAGGAGGCCTGTGATCTGCAAGAGGAGCACTTTACCTAGAGTGGGGGGAAAGGGTAAGAGAGTGGGCAGACAGAGCAACTTGGAGCTGGTACAGAAAGAAGGAACAATGAGAGATGAGAGGGGCAGAAAGAGAAAAAAGCAGGGTTTCTCATAGAATGCATTCAAGATCTGGTTAAATTAGGCACGTGAAGATGACATTTGCAAAACTCCTTTCTAAAGGGCTTGTACATTTTTATAATTATTTGTATCAGAAGATAACTTCCATTTGCAGTCCCTATTCAGCCAGGAGGCAATGATTTGACTCTGCTGGTTATCGGTCACCCTCTTCCCTTTTCCTAGTGTGGGGTAGAAGGTCAGGGAGGTCAGAAGGAGGGCACACAATGGCTGTCCCTACATGGTGCTGTTTGTTTGTGGCCACACTTCCATTTTGCAGGATCTTAGTTCCCCACCAGGGATCGAACCCATACACCCTGCAGTGAAAGTGCTGAGTCCTCACACTGAACTGCCAAGGAATTACATCAAGGGTCCTGGAACAAGTGTAGAACCATTGGAAAGGCAGTCTAAGGTCTGCCTAAAACACCTGCAGATGGGTTAATGGCTGGTTATGGGGCTGCGTCTTGGGGTGCTATTATCTTAGCTCAAGTTCCCTGGGACACAGATGCAGAGACTGAGATTTGCAGGTGTGGGTTTAATTGGGAAACTTATGGTCACACTTGAGGAATGAAGTGGAATTAGGCCAAGTGAAAAGACATCCTTCAGTGTTGGAACCAAGGCCTGCACTGGGCTCGTTGTGAATTCATGAATTGCTGGGGTTGGTGGGATTTCGTCACAGGCGGGAGGTTCATCACGGAGTATCTGGGAAGTGTGTGGGGACCCCATGGGAGTTTGTTAGAGCATCTGATTCCAGAAGTAGATCAGTGGGGCCTTTCAAACAGCTCAACAGGTAAGTGGTTTTCACTAGGGAGAACTTGCTGGGAGTGGGCCTGGAGGCAAAACACCAGAAGAGAGCCATGATGTAGGGAAAGAGCTCTGAAGAATCAGAGGGCAGTGACCCCACAGCAAAACATCTGCAGCAGAAAGGCTCTTCCTGGGGACTCTTTTTTTTTTTTTAACTATAATTGATTTACGTTGTTGTGTTAAGTTCAGGTGTTGTTATTGTCTGGTCTCTCAGTCATGTCCGACTCTTTGCAACCTCATGGACTGCCTACCAGGCTCCTCTGTCCATGGGATTTTTCAGGCAAGGTAGTGGAATGGGTTGCTGTTTCCTCCTGCAAGTGATCTTCTCCACCTAGGGGTCAAACCCATGTCTTCTGCAGGTCTCCTTCATTGGCAGGCAGGTTCTTGACCTCTGAGCCACCAGGGATGCCCCAATTTCAAGTGTACAGCACATTGACCCAGAGATATATATGTATATTCTGTTTTAGATTCTTTTCCTTTATAGGTTACTACAAAATATTGAGTAGAGTTTCTTGTGTTATACAGTGTGTCCTTGTTGGTTATATTTTATGTATAGTAGTGAATGTTTTAATCCCAAACTCCTAATTTATTCCTACCCTCTCCTTTCCCCTTTGGTAGCCGTAAGTTTGTTTCCTGTGTGGGTGTATTTCTGTTTTGTAAATAAGCTCCTCTGTGTCTTTCTTTCTTTTAAGATACCACATATAAGCCGTATCATGCAACGTTTGTCTTTCTGTGTCTGGCTCACTCCCCTTAGTGTAATGATCACTAGGTGGGACTCCCGTTGGAAAGACACAGCCTAACTTCCTCGCTGCCAGGGGAGTGGGTGTCACTGTCTGCTGGTCACATGCTCCCCACCCGCACTGACACTTTGCTTTTCAGAGTCACAGATGACCTCTTTGTTTAAAAAATTATATTCTTGACGTGTAGCTACAATGTTGTGTTAGTTTCTGCTGTACAGCAAAGTGATTCAGCCCACTCAGGATCCTAGAGGGGTTTGCATGCCATCCTCCAGGGGATCTTCCACACCCAGGGATCGAACCTGTGGCATCTTCTGCATCGCAGGCGGTTTCTTAACCATCTGAGGCAGAGGCTTCCCGGATGGCTCAGATAGTAAAGAATCTGCCTGCAATGCAGAAGACACGAGTTTGAACCCTGGGTCAGGAAGATCCCCTGGAGAAGGGAATGGCTATCCACTCCACTATTCTTACCTCAAGAATTCCATGGACAGAGGAGCCTGGCAGGCTACAGTCCATGGGGTCGCAAAGAGTTGGACACAACTGAGCGACTAATACTTTCACTTTCACATATATACATCCTTTTCATATTCTTTTCCATTATGGTTTAACATAGGATGTTAAATATAGTTGTCTGTGCTTTCTCTTTGTGGCTTATTTCACTTAGTATGATCATCTCTATGTCCATCCATGTTACTGCAAATGGTTTTGTTTCATCCTTTTTTATGCCTGAGTAATATTCCTAAGTACCCCATCTTCTTTATTCATTCCTCTATTGATGGACATTTAGGCTGCTTCCATGTCCTGTAGATTTATCTGAATATATGCTCAAGGGTAGGGTTGCTGGGTCATATGGTAGCTCTATTTTTGGTGTTTTGAGGAACCTCCCTACTGTTTTCCATAGTGGCTTCACCAGTTTACCTTCCCAGCAGCACCTAGTTTCTAAGTCCAATATTTAACTTCCTTGGCACATTTGCTTTTCCCGTCAGCCGCCAGCTGCAGGTGCCACTGGTCATCACTCCCTCTTCCTTGAGACCTTGGTTTTGAGGATGTCTCACTAACCTCTACAGACCTATCTGCCTATTTGTTTTATTTTTTTCTCCCCTCCCTGTTCACTTCTTAGTTTCCTCTGATGAATTCCTGAACTCCCCGGTCTCTGAATATGGGAACACCCCAAGACTTAGTCCATGAACCTCTTCTCTGTCTACACCCGCTGCCTTTCCTCATCATCTCACCAAATGGCTTTCAGCCCCACCTACTCGTCTCCCAGTTTATCCTCTCCATCCACACTTCTGCCCTAAACTGTCAGTCCTGCGTCCAGCTGTGTTCTCAACGTCTCTGCTGGGACAGCCAGCAGGCATCTCCGCCTTAACTTGTCCAGAACTGGTCTTGACCGCCTCCAGTCCTATTCCCTCTGCCGCCCTCCTTAAGGTTGCTTAAGGGCAACCCTGTACTTGCCAGGACTTAGGTGAATACCTCAGCATGCTTTGAAATACGTACTCCATAATCTGTAAATGTTTTACTGTATAAGGTAAAGAAGAGGTTAGATGTTTACTTAAAGTGAAAGAAGGCACACATAGCTTTCAAAATTCTCTTAAGTGATGGAAGAAGAATGTCTGGTCCTTCCTCTTTGGCTTCCCCACCCCGTGCCTCTCTGGCCTCCTCTCCTGTCTCCTCCTCCCCTTCCCCTACTCCAGATGCACAGTCCTCTTTCCCCTTCCAGCCCTAAGTTTGCTACTGGCTCAGGGACCTTAAGGGAGTGTCCCTCGGCCTCAAACTCTCTGGCCCAGCAGATGCAGATGGCTTCCTCCCCCAGGTCTTTGTTCTGACGTCACCTTCTGAGTGCAGCCATCTCTGAGCTCCCTGCGCCTGTGCCAGCCCCACCCTCACCCCCACCTCTGTTCTTAAGGGCTGCTTGGCGTGTTTTTTTCTGCTCCTTCCCCTTCCATGGCTGGTTGCTGGTGATAGCAGTTCACCCCAGGTTGGAGAGAGACAGAACGTGGGGCCGTGCTGGGTGTGCCTCTGAGTGGTGCGCAACCCAGGCTTCACGTTAGGTCCATGAAGCATTTTGCATAGACAGGTTTTGTGCCCCTTTTCCCATCAGAGACTCTCTTCAGACAGTTGTGTGGGGCCTAGCTTCAGGAATGTTTGTGTGCATGCATGCTAAGTCACCTCAGTCGTGTCTGACTCTTTGAGACCCCATAGAGTGTAACCCACAGACTCCTCTGTCCATGGTATTTTCCAGGCAAGAATACTGGAGTGGGTTGCCATTTCCTTCTCCAGGAGATCTTTCCGACCCAGGGTCAAACCCGCGTCTCTTAAGTCTCCTGCATTGGCAGGCAGGTTCTTTACCACTCGTGCCACGTGGGAAGCCAGGAATGTGCACAGGCCACAGATGATTCTGATCTGGATCCTGCATTGAGCACCAGGGCTCTTAGCCTCCACTTCTGAGACTGAGATCAGGCCCTGGGGGAGGGGAGGGCACTCTGCTCTGAGTGGGGCTGGACCAGGGCCTGCTGTGTGACCTGAAGGGGATCGTGGGGTCAGCAGAGGTGGCCCCTGCTTCTGTGTGCATGAGGCCTCACAGGAGGGGAGTGTGATCCGAGGGAAAGTGTGGGAAAGTCCCGTGTTGGACTCTGCACCAGAATTGACTGTCCTGTGTCCCTCCTGAGACAGTGGGCACAGAGGACTCTCTGTTCCACACGTTGAGGGCTTCCCTGTGTGTGTGGTTGGGTCTCAGGAAGGGGATGTTTTGGCTCTAAGCATTAAACAGCATGTTTTCCACTTTCAAGACTGACTTCTAAAGTCTCATGATGCCTGAGGAAAAAACCCAGACGAGGAGGAAGAGGAAAGAACAGGTAATGGCTCTTTCTCAGGTAAAGTCATATTCTCAGTTGATTCACCGCATGTCCTTCCTGGAATGTCCTGACTGACTTCTGTACATGCACACTCACCTGGGGCCTTTCCTCAGGGCCTGTCATCTCCACTTAGATCCTCATGACTCAGTGATGAAGAAACTTGAAAAGGCTCCATTGTGGTCATAGAGAGACACTTCCTTTTTTTCAGTAAATTTAAGTGCGTATACATGTGTGCATGAGTGCACAGGTGTGCAAGCCCTTGGTTTTTACAAAATACGTATCATTATGTCTATATAACTTCTATGGTATTGAGTTGTGAAATTATATATTTTTCATTGTCTTAAAGTTTTTCCACACACTGACATTCATGAGTTAAATAAGAAGAGTAATTATTGTATTTCTGCACGTGTCCGTGATGACATTTTATGCAACTCTGGGTTGTTAGCCTTGAACTTGTTTCAAGTTTTCTCAAGAAACCCTCTGTCAGTGTACCTTTGGTAATTTTATATGACTTAAGTTTTTTACATTTAATTCTAGAACCTAAACACCTGGGTTTATATGCTTGCTCTACCGTCTTTAGCTGTTTGACCTGAAGCAGATTTCTTAGAATGTCTGTGACACAACTGTCGCTGCCTTCAGATGTATGAGACTAGATCTTTTCATTTTAAAAAATTTGTTTTTAATTATTTTATATTGGAGTATAGTTGAATAGCAGTGTTGTGTTAGCTTCAGGTATACAGCAGAGTGATTCAGTTATACATACACGTGTCTATTCTTTTCCCATTTAGCGTATTTCAGAGTATTCAGCAGAGTTGCTTGTGCTGTGCAGTAGATCCTTGTTGTTTATCTGTTGTATACATAGTAGTGTGTATACAAACCCAGTTCTGCCCCTGACACCTGCCCACACCACATTTTCCCTTTGGTAGCCGTAAGCCTGTTTTCTATGTCTGTGAGTCTGTTTCTATTTTGTTTTTCATTTATTTATTTATTTACTTGCTTATCTATTTATTTTGATATTTTAATTTTTTTGGAGGATAGTTGATATACAGTTTTGTGTTAGTTTCAGGTATGCAGAAAATTGAGTTATACATGCACAAATATCCATTGTTTTTAGATTCTTTTCAGATCTTTTTAAATTTGCTATTATGTTATACGAGTTTGTACATGCAAAGCATTTTTAGAGGAATGCATAGCACCCAAGAAGTGTTCAAACACTTTTTGAGATCCCTGTTGCTGTCATTACAGTTTCTTTAAAGTCACTATAGACACTGTCATCTCTAAAGATTTCATTGCTGCTCTAGTTCCTCTTAACATTGAATATTACTTGGTGTGTGGAACATACTATCTCACATTTCTATACAGATAATCCTGTGTCAATTGTGTGTGTGTGTTTCTTGTATTGTCCACAAAAATAGGAAATACATACTGATTTAGAGGCTGTTATAACCTCTTGTGGAAAAGTATAATAAACCAAATCAGAGACACATAACATGCTCAAAAGTACCTTCAGTGAATCTGTAACCACACTCTAGTCAAAATCAATCCTTACACCTCCCTCCTTTTCTCATTTTGTGTGAAAAGAAGACTCTCCTGGTGGGCCCGTTGGTGAAATGTGTTTTCGTTTCAGGGACGGTTGACATTCAAAGATGTGGCCATTGAATTCACTCCCGAGGAGTGGGAGTGCTTGGACCCTGCTCAGAGGGCCTTGTACAGAGAAGTGATGGTGGAGACCCTCAGAAACCTGCTCTCTGTGGGTGAGGATCACTTCCCTCCAGAAGTTGGGGTCTGCCCATGGGTAGCTCTGCATTTTCCATCCTGTGCCTCTTGGGTGTGCCTGCATGGCCTGACTGAGCTCAGAGCCCTGTTGACTCAGACATGAAAAGCTTCCTAATGCAGCAGGACTTTGAACTTGTCCTTTCTTCATATGATCTTCCCATTTCATGGTCAAGGGTGATTCCAGAGCTCAAATATGCATCAAACCTTATAACAAATAGAAAATATCCAGTTCCCTCTTTCCTACCCCTGAGCTTTTGATTCAGAAATTCTTGGAAGAGAGCTAGATGTCTACATATTATATACTATGCCCTATGCATTCAAAATCAGGCAGCCAGTGGATGAATTTTTGGATTGTGGCGGGAGGAAGCTGTGTTATGTGGCACACAAGAACTTAGTTCCCCAACCAGGAATTGAACCCAGGCCCCCGGCATTGGGAGTTTAGACTCAACCACTGGACCACCAGGGAGATCCCATGTAATGGTTTTTTAGCTTTATTGAGGTATAGTCAAATAAAGTTATAGTATATTTAAACTGTGCAACACAGTAACTTGATATACATGTACATTGTTAGTGGGTTTCCATGAAGTTAACACATAAATTACCTCACATGTGACTTTTATTTTTTGTTTTGGTGAGAACACTTAAGTTCTACTCTCTCAGTACATTTCAGTTTTACAGTATTAATACTGTCCACTGTCATCGTCGTGTTACATGTGAAATCCTCAGAGCTTGTTCATCTTATGATGGAAACTGTGAACCCTTTTATCAACCGCTCCCCATTTCTGTCACCCCCAGGCCCTGGCAGCAGTTATTCTAGTCTGTGTTTCTTGGCCTGGTTTCTTCCCTCTTCATCACACTCCCTATCTTTTCAATCTCTTCCTTTTGGCCCCATGTCCTACAGTTAAGAAAGGACAGTATTATACTACTTGCTAAGTCAGTTTCTCTTTTCTTCCCAGGTCAATATTTTATGTGCCCAGGTATGTTTATCTTCCCACAGATTGACACGTACAAACACTGCCCACATGCCCTTTGCTCCCTACCCAGCAGTCTTTTTTTTTTTTAATTCTCTCTATTAATTTAAGTGTACTTGATTTACAATGTTGTGTTAATTTCTGCTGTTAGCAGAGTGATTCAGTTATACAGCTATATACATTCTTTTTCATGTTCTTTTCCGTTACGGTTTATCACTGTTTACTAATCTTCACTATGACCTATAGGTAATGATTTTTCAGGATGTATTTCACAGTGCAGCTGACTCACACCGCTTGTTAGTGTGGCAGAATGGCCATTCTGAGTGAATATGGTTTTATAAGTGGCATTCAGAGAATTATTTTTATAACATTTTATTAAATTCTTCCTCATTTCCACAGGGCAGATATGGTTTTCCAGTTCTAAAGTGCCATTTACTTATATTACTCACTAATTAAATTTGTTGTGGCTTATTTACCATTAGAGTACTATGCTTTAGCATTATTACTAAACATTAAAAATACAGTAAACATATGTAATATGGGCTTCCCTGGTGGCTCAGATGGTAAAGAATCTGCTTGCAATGCAGGAGACCTGAGTTCAATCCCTGAGTGGGGAAGATCCCCTGAAAAAGGGAATGGTTACCCACTCCAGTATTCTTGCCTGGAGAAAAGTAAGATTGTTACTGTGTAATATTGTTCTTTCTTCAAATATGAAGCAGCCATGTTTTCTGTGAAGTAATATGTGGATTTAGGTCATGATGCCAAAATACCCCTGTCAGGACTAACATAAGTTTGCACGCTGAGGTTTTCAGCCATTGATTGTTTAAAGTAGGCCTCCCTAACATGTAATCACCCTTTTTTTTTTTTTTCCAGTTTTTTAAATTGTGGTAGAAGTCACAGAACATAAACCATACTATCTTAACCATGTTTAACTGTGCAGTTCAAGCTTCCCAGGTGGTGCTAGTGGTCAAGAACCGGGCTGCCAATGCAGAAGTAAGAGAGCTTTGATCCCTGGGTTGGGAAGGTCCCCTGGAGGAGGGCATGGCAACACACACAGTATTCTTGCCTGGAAGATCCCATAGACAGAGGAGCCTGGTGGGTTATAGTCCACAGGGTCACAAAGAGTCAGACACAGCTGAAGTGACTTAGCATGCATGCAAACACAACTGTGCAGTTCTGTGGCACTGAGTACATTCACATCATTGTGTGACTCTCACCATCATCCATCTCCCAAATTTTTCACTTTCCTGAAGTGAAACTCGGTCCCCATTAGACATTAAGTCCCCATTCCCCCTCCAGACACCTCCTGCCCCACACACATCCCGTCCCTGGCATCTTACCAGGGACTCTGTAACTGGAAAGAGTTTCTGACTCTAACTTTGACTCATTAAAGTAGAATCAAACAATATTTGTGTGCACCTCCTGTATATACCCTTTCTTTATCAAGGGACCTTATTCCTGGTGTGTTCCCAAAAAGGAAAGATCATGGTTGCACTATTTCTTATCTGTCCAAAGCTTGTAGTCCTTTCAGTATAGTACCATGTTCTTCCATATGAAATATTTCTTTCCCAGCTGTAATTAACAGGAGACATGTGATTTTGTTTGTCTTGCAGATACCTCTCCTAGACGTGTGATGAAGGGATCAGCACCAAAACAGAGCAGTCACACAGGAGGGATCCTGCAGACAGCGTTGTCAGAAAGGCACAAAAGCCATGACACCAAGGACCATGGCTGCCGGAAAATCCAGAAAAATGTGTTCTCACGGGAAAGTGATAAAAGTAATCAGAAGGGAGTACCTGCCACCCATCCAAAAACTCTCATTTGTCAAAGAGACGAAGGAAACAAGCCAATTGAAAGCAGGCTGGCACTCAGCTTTCCGTCATATCTGACTGGACTGCCCGTCTTCCCAGCCGAAGGGCAGTTTTATGTGTATCATCAGGTTGAGAAGGCTGACAACACAGGAGCCTCCTTTTCAGTACTTCCAAGAATTGTTCCTACTGTCCAGATCAACGTTTCTAATGGATACGGGATCAGTTTCTGGCATTCTCCGTTACTCATACAAGACCAGAAAGCACATGTTCGGGAAGACCCTTACAGACGCAACCCGGATGACAAAGCAGTTCATGACAGCTCCCAGCGCCCCAGCCGTCAGGCGACCCATGGAGGGGTGAGGCCTCACACATGTAACGTGTGTGGCAAAGCCTTTCATCAGAGCTCACATCTCACTCGACATCAAAGAATCCACACAAGAGGGAAGCATCACAAGTGTGAAGAGTGTGGTAAGGGCTTTAGTTACAGTTCACACCTTGTACGCCACCGCAGAATCCATACCGGAGAGAGACCTTACCAGTGCAGCGAGTGCGACAAAGCCTTCAGTGTGCTTTCAAGTCTTATTTATCACCAGGTCGTCCACACTAGAGAGAAACCTTACAAATGTAATGAATGCGACAAAGTCTTCAGTCAGAGTTCAAGCCTTACCAATCATCGCAGAATCCATACCGGAGAGAAACCTTACAAATGTGATCAATGTGGCAAAGCCTTTAACCAGAGCTCGCATCTCACCAGACATCAGGTCATGCACACCGGAGAGAAGCCTTACAAGTGTGATGAGTGTGGCAAGGTCTTCACTCAGAACTCTAGCCTTGTAAGTCACCGGAGAATTCACACTGGGGAGAAACCCTACCAGTGTAACGAGTGTGGCAAAGCATTTGGTGTGTATTCGAGTCTGACTTATCATCAGGTAACCCACACTAGAGAGAAACCTTACAAATGTAATGAATGTGGCAAGGTCTTCAGTCAGAGTTCAAGCCTTCCCAGTCATCGCAGGATTCATACTGGAGAGAAACCGTACAAATGTGATCAGTGTGGCAAATCCTTTATTCACTGCTCAAACTTCAATAGACATAAGAAAATCCATACTGGAGAGAAACCTTACAAATGTGACGAATGTGGCAAGGTCTTCACTCAAAACTCAAGCCTCATGAATCATCGGAGAATTCATGCTAGGGAGTGACCTGACCAATGTGATGAGTGTCACAAAGTGCTTGTTGTAAGTTCTACCATAAATTGACACCAGAGAGTCCGTACTAAAGAGAAATTATATCAGTGTAACATACAGGACAGAGGACTTATACAGATTCATAGCTCACAAGACATCCAGAATCTATACCTTTGATGAAGCCACAAAAATGTGTGTATAAAAATCAAAACTAAAGAACATTATGACATTCCTACTGGAGAGCAGCCTTACGAATGGGATGAATATGGGAAGGTTTCTAAAAGCATTCATGCCTTTGATGTCTTGAGAGTATTTAAACTAGGGAGAAACCAAACAGACTTACTGAGTGTGGAAAGGCCTTTCAGCAACAGTATCCCCTCAGAATTCACCAAAGAATTCATTAGTGGAAAGAAACCTTACAAACATAATGAATATTTTAAATTTCTTCATGACTTTTCATAACAGTCTGCCTCAGCATTCACGTGAGGAATGACTAAGTCTCAAATTTAATCCGAAGTATTGCAGACTGCAGAATAATTAAAATATGTTCAAACTTAGATAGGTCCTGAGGATATTATCCTATGGTTTCTTTTCTGAATCTCTTAACAATGTAAAGTACAATGGTTTTACATTTCATGTTTAAAGCTATAACCAACTTTAAACTAATATTTGTACAAGTGTGAAGTTTTGGTGGAGGTTCTTTCATATTTTTTTCCCTAGTTTGGGAAATGAGTTGCTAGGTATCATTTTTCAAATTCTTTGTCCATCGGGTTTCCTTGGTACCTTGTCAGACTCAGTTGGAAGTACTTGTGTGGGGGCTGTTTCTGGGTTTTCTGTTTTGTTTCTTTGACCCGTATGTCTTACTCCACAGACATCACAGTCTTGATTACTTTTTACCATGTTAGAAGTCTTAAATGAGAGTGACTCCAAACAGTTTATTCTTCTCCAGATGTTTTTGCTATTCTAGTTCTTTCCATGTAAGTTTTAGAAAAATCTTGTTCGTTTCTACAAAATATCTTGATAGAAAATGTCTATCAGTTTGCAATCATTTGACATCGTTTCTGTGTTATGCCTTCCAATAAATGGCTGTTGTATGTCTTTATTTGTCTGTTCTTTGGTTTCTTTCACCAGTATTAAATAAATAGCATCAAAATCCTGTCAACACTTCGTTTAGCACATTTCTACTTTTACTTTTTGAATAATTGGACATGTTATTTTTAATTTGTCTCCATGTGTTAATTGCTATTATATAGAAATACAGTAGATTTTTGAATGTTGATCTTGTATCCTCAGAATTTACTAATCTCACTTACTCTAGAGATTTTTGTAGATCCTTTGGACTTGTGTATCTGTAATCATTTCAGTAGTTTCCTAGTGCAGCTTGCCGACAAAAATTTCAGTTATCAAGAAGGGAATTTATTTGAGCCAAACTACGGATTATAATCCAGGAAGTAGATTCTCAAAAAGCTCTGACAACTGTTCCAACTGTTAAAGAGTTCAAGGTATAGTCACAAACATTTTTGAGACACAGGATTTTATGTCAAAATGACACATTTTTTAAAATTGTTTTAACATTTTATCTTTGACTGCTCTATATTTTCATTGCTGCACAAAGGCTTTTCTCTAGTTGCAGGCTTCTCATTGTGATGGCTCCTCTTGTTGTGGAGCACAGGCTCTAGGGCATGTGGGCTCCAGTAGTTGTGGCTTAGTTACCCTGCGGTATGTGGGATCTTCCTGGACCAGGGATTGAAGCCGTGTCCTTTGCATTGGCAGGTGGATTCTTAACGTCTGGACCACCAGGGAAGCCCAGACCTACTGATATTTTACATGAAGTTCATCAAGGATACATGGTCCAGGTAAGTACATTCAAAATGAACAGGAGGTCACCAGGACCTCCTATAGAATTGGGAAAAGACACCATTCTTTTAAGAAGTTAAATTGCTAGCTCCAAAAGCAAGGGAAAATATTAGACCTTTTCTGTTGGTTGGGCAGGCACAGCCATCCCTGAGGAACTGTGGTTCATGTATAACACAGGTGCACACTGCACATTAGGGAGAGAGGGAGGAGGCCTAAACAGAATTTAATGTTTAAATTTTTTCTTGTCTTAAAATACACATTTTATTTCATCAGAAATAAATACCACAGACTAAGTGGATTAAAACAAGTTGTCTTCCAGTTCAGGTCAGAAGTCTAAAATGAGTATCTTAACAGAACTGGGAGAAATTTGTTTCCTTGCTGTTTCCAAGTTCTAGGGACTGCTTACATGCTTTGCAACTTCAAAATAAGCTATGTACCATCTTTTTTTTTTTTTTTTTGCTTTTGGCCTCACTGTGTGGCATCTGGGATCTTAGTTCCCCAACCATGGATTGAACCCGTGCTCTCTGCAGAGGAAGTAAGGAGTCTCAACCACTGAACCTCCAGGGAATTCATGTGTGTATGTGTGTGTGTGTGTGTACATATATATACATATATGCACACACATATATAATATATTACATATATATGTTACACAAGGTTGAATATATCGTTCATTGTTGAAACTCCTTTAAATTTTTTGGATCCTCAAATCTAGTGATCACAAATAAGGGTATTTTCTAATCTTTGTGTATGATTTCTCCCACTTTTTTATTCTTCTGCTTTGTTCCCTTGGATCTTTGCCTAAAGAAAAATCCATATAAACGAAAAGGCCGTACACCCCCACCCTGTTTGTGTATGTTAGTTGCTCATGTCTGACTCTTTGCGGCCCCATGGACTGTAGCTCACCAGGTTCCTCTATCCATGGGATTTTATAGGCAAGAATACTGGAGAGGGTTTGGATTCCCTTCTTCAGGGGATCTTCCCAACCCAGGGATCAAACCCCAGTCTTATGCTTTGCAGGCAGATCTCTTCAACATCTGAGCCCCAACCCTGCTCCTCTGCTATTCTAGAAATAGTAAAGATTCCACCATAGATATATTTCCTCAGTGGAGGACAGGAGGAACAATGCCGGGTTGTTTCAGGGTTCACATGAAATGGTAACTATTAAGCATTTGGAACACTGCCTGGCACAAAGTAGGAGCTCAGTGATCACAGTTGTTTAGTAACTAAGCAGTGTCTGACTCTTTTGCAACCCCGTGGATTGTAGCCCACCAGGCTCCTCTGTCCATGGGATTTCCCAGGCAAGAATACTCAAGTGGGTTGCCATTTTCTTCTCCAGGGGATCTTCCTGACCCAGGGAAGGAACCCTCAACTCCTGAATTGGTGGGTGCGTTCTTTACCACTGAGCCACCAGGGAAGCCCGATAGAGGACATGGGAGTTCAAACTGACTCCTGTCTTCCCTCAAACTTACTGAGATACCATTTAACAAAATATTTCAGCCTCTAAATATCCCAGCATCCAACTGATACTTTTATGCTTTTTAATATTTATTTGGCCGCACCACGTCTTAATTGTGGCACACAGTGTCTTCAATCTTTGTTGTGGGATTTTTAGTTGTGGCATGTGGGATCTAGTTCCCCAAGCAGGGGTTGAACCTGGGCCCCTGCATTGGGAGCACAGAGTCTTACCCACTGGACCACCAGGGAAGTCTCTCCAGTTGGTATTTCTGCTTGTTAATTTCCATCTTAAAAATATTCTACAATGAGATACCACCTCATATCCATTCAGATGACTATTATCTAAAAAAAAAAAAAAACAAAATATTAATAACAAGTGTTAGCAAGGATATAGTAAAACTAAACCTTAATCACTGCTGGTTGGAATGTGAAATGGTACAACTAATATGTAAATCTCATAGCAGTTCCTCAAAAAATTAAACACAGAATTAACATATAATCCAAAAATTCTGTTACTGGGTATATACCCCAAAGAACTAAAAGAAGACTCAGAAAGAAATTTGTACAAGCATGTTCACAGCAACATTATTTACTGTAGCCAAGAGGTGGACACAACCAAGTGTCCATTGGCACACATAGGAAACCCAATGTGGTCAACTGTAAAATATTGTGTATGTGTGCTCAGTCATGTCCAGCTCTTTGCAACCCAGTGGATTGTGACCCTCCAGGCTCCTCTGTCCATTGGATTTCCCAGGCAAAAATACTGGAGTGGGTTACCGTTTCCTTTTCCAGGGGATCTTCCTGACCCAGGGAAAAACCTGCCCTTCAGTGCAGTGTCTGACACCCTATTCCCCCATCCAGATCCATCCTAGGTATGTGAATCAAAACCAAAGGCTCGCTCTTTCCATAAACTCTTCTCACATTTCACTGCCTTCTGAATTGTAGGGAAATTTTTATTAGATTGAAATACACATACTCAGAGAAACTATATTATCTTCAAATAATCACAGGCCACACTTTACACAACAGATCCCTTGTCTCTGTGAAGTCTTACATTGAAACAGCTCATGAAAACAAAATTAATGACATTTTACTTAGTAAATAACTGGTTCAATGTCTTCAATATATTTTATTTTTTTGTGTATGTTACTTAGACTCTTTTTTTTTTTTGCTTAATTTTTTATATTGGAGTATAGTTGATTTACAATGTGTTAGTTTCAGGTGTACATCAAAGTAACTCAGTTATACATACACATATGTCCATTCTTTTTCAGATTCTTTTCCCATAGAGCTTATTACAGATCATTGAGTTCCCTGTGCTATACTGTACGTCCTTGTTGATTATCTATTTCATATATAGTAGTATGTATATGTTAATCCCAAACTCTTAATTTATCCTCTCTGCCACATTTCCCCTGTGGTAACCATAAGTTTTTTTGATGCCTGTGAGTCTATGTTTGTGTTCTGTAAATAAGTTCATTTGTATCATTTTTTAAAGAATCCACATATAATTGGTATATGATATTTGTCTTTCTCTGAGTTAACTTCACTTTGTATGATAATCTCTAGGTCCCTCCATATTGCTGTAATGGCATTATTTTGTTCTTTTCCATGACTAAGTAGTATCCCATTGTACCACATCTTCTTTATCCATTCCACTGTTGGACATTTAGGTTGCCCTGTGACCTGGCTATTAAAAATAGTGCTGCTGTGAACATGGGGACACATGTATCTTTTCAGATTTCAGTTTTCTCCAGATACATGCCCAGGAGTGGACTTGCTAGATCATATGGCAGTTCTGTTTTTAGTTTTTTTTAAGGAACCTCCATACCGTTCTCCATAGTGGTTGTACCAACCAGTAGATTTTAACTTCTGAAGACAGTCTGCTGCTCACGACTCTGTGGTGTGACAGCTCATTGTGGGGCTGGACACAGCAAAAACTCAATGATTAATAAAGGATTTTACACTGTGCATACAAGTGGAAAATTTAGAGCTTTCTGACCTGATTAGGGACCAGGTTATTCCTTCTGCAGCAGGCAGAGCAGAGCCTGGATACACAGGTGTCTGGACTCATGAGAAGAAAGGGGCTAACAGTGGGGAAACATGAACGAATTAGTGAGGAGATGTTAATCAGCCACCAACTGGGATGATTGAAAACCAACATGTAAGTCACAAAAATGGTGCAGAGCATGTAGAAAGATAGAAAGGTGCTCACCAGGGCAAGGATTCTTTGGGCAGCTCTGGTCTCAGGAGGGGATCCGGCTGAACGGTTGGTCCTAGGAATGTGGCGGACTTGCCGGTGGTGTCTGTACAGGGTGAAAACCATGAATCCGCTGGCCAGGGTCATGAGTCCAAAAGACAAAGTGCTAGGAGGACTTAAGAAAGCTGCCAACAGTATGGACGTCATTGTATCAAGACGAGTCATAGAGCAGTAGCCCACATCTTTTTGCTTTGTGGTGTTTGTGCTGCTCCATTTCCCAGACACATACGTGAACACAAATGTATTTACAAGCAAGTGCAAAATCCAGCACAGGTAAAGAGTGAAGCCGGCGTACTTGGGAGCTTTTCCTTTAAGACTTGTCCATGTGGAGTTCCTGGGGCTAATCATAATGGCCTGTAAGACGCTTAAGAGACAGGTGGTGCTGAAAGACACCCCCACAGCCACCCTGTGAATGTAGAAAACGAGTTTGCATCCAGGGTCACCGAGGAAATGTCTCAATCCAAAGGCTGCCACTGTCTGGGGAGGTCCTTTAGAAAGGAGGGCCAAGATGTTGGCGAAGATCAGGTGCCTGAGAGTGAAATCAAGGGGTTTTAACCTGTGTCCCCTGAGGTGAATGGTAACATTCTGATAAAGAAACAAGAAATTCCCTAAGATTCCGACTACAGTCTGTAATAAGGAGATGACCCCTACTGCAAGATCCCTGGAGGCCACTCCGCCAGCTCCCAGACCCCAGGGTTCATGTTCAGAGTAAGATGGCATTGCAGGAGTATGTGAGCTTTGTGTTACTTGGTAATATGGCAGTTGAAATCCGCTATTCTTCACTCGGGCTTCCCAGGTGGCTCAGTGGTAAAGAATTCGCCTGCCAAGCAGGAGACCCGGCTTCGATCCATGAGTCAGGAAGATCCCCTGGAATAGGAAATGGCAACCCACCCCAATATTCTTGCCTGGGAAATCCCATGGACAGAGGAGTTTTTGTGGCCTATAGGATTTATCGACTAAACAATAGTTCTTCATTCAGCAATACTCATTCACAGTTTCCATTAACAACTGGTTGCATAAGTGGTATTGTTTTGTATGTAACAGCATCCACTCTTCAACTCTGAGATGTTATTATTTTTCAGAGGAGGAGCCCCTAAGTACAGATTTTAAGAACCATGCGAACTCGCAGCCCCCTAGGTGACCGAGTGAGAAATGGAACCTGTGTTTTCTAGCTGCAGACAAGCCTCTTCACCACAATCCTACATGAAGAAAGGTTGTCAGTTTTACTCTTTGTGTTCTCAAAACCTGTACTTTATTTTTTTTTAACTGATGTCCTTTGCCATTCTTAAATGTTTTTATCTTCATTAATAGTTGTTATGGTAGCAATTTTATAATTATGTCTGTAAGTTTATTTTTTATAGGCCAGTATTGCCTATGAATAAATATTTTAAATGAAAATCAGATGATAAAGCACCAACTACCATAAAACCCTGTAAAAATGATTATCCCAGATGAAGTGTTGGGTTTATAGGGGCAAGAATGGCTTAATGTGATGTAACAGAGATGCATTTGTCCTTATTCCAAGAACAAGCATAAAATGAGAGTAACCACCAAAATCTTTACTGTTATATGATGGGCTAAACTCTAGGCTTTGAAACAGATATGAGACAAAACACTGTAAAAGAGAGACTAAATTATTATTGATTACATAGGGCATAATTGATTAATAATGAAAGGATTAAATGAAACTCTGTGAGGAACAATGTAATAATTATTGAAATAGACTCATATACAAGTATTTCAAATGACATGCAGGAGGCAGGGAAACAAGTGCAGTGAATAAATTTAAATTGTAGATTTGGTATGAATTTAGGATTGACATTAAAAGTTATTCTTTTTTTCCCCAGACCCTGTGGGATGTTTGATCTTCGTTCCCTGACCAGAGCTAGAACCTGTGCCCCCTTCTTTGAAAGCACAGGGTCCTAACCACTGGACAACCAGGAAAATCCCTAAAAACATGTATTTTTAACAGAGAAGTATCAGGAGAACACATCTGAAGCTTCAAACTGTCAAGATCATTTTGCTCTGAAACCCACAAACAATGTTAATGTTTTTTCTGAAATAGTCTTTGCCTAATTTCTTTTTTGGGGGGTGGAGGGGTGGGTTAAGTGTGATCTCTCTTTAGTTTTCCAATTTTCTACACAAAAATCCACAAGAAATAATGAGTCATTGCTGATGCCTTTCACTTGCTCTAAGAGCAAAGGGAAAAAATTCCACACGAGACTGAGTTTATCTTTCTAATGCAGGCAAGACGCTTAGGTGGATCTTGAGAAAACCCAGAGGGGAAAACTCTGGGGCCGCCTCCTTGGAACCAGGAGAGGAGCCTGAAGGCACGAGGACTGAGGCATGTGAGTCTCAAACTGACCTAGGATACCAAGGAACTGAACTGGGACTCCCCCTTCCTCTGGAAATGTGACTCTGAAGTAGGCTGCCTCATCCTTAGCATTCCTGGAAAGTGGGGGGCTGTCGGCCCATTCACCCATTAAGCAAGAGACTATGCCCCCTGCACCAGTAAGGTGCTTTGAAATCCCCTGTGAATCTCCTCCCCGGAAAACAGAAGGGTCCACATGGGAGGGGTGGGGGAGGCGGCAAGGATAGGAAGGGAGGGAGGCAGTGGGAGCCAGGGAGCGCGTGCCCTGGCAAGAGAGGAACGGAGGAGAGGGCAGAGAAGGGGAGGAGTAGGGATGGGGCGTGCAGGTGTCCAGCCTCAGGGAGAACAAAGCAGAAAAGGGGTGTGCACCATGCCTACCAGTGGCTGTTGGCTGCAGGGCGCCCTAAGCCGGGCATCTCCCAGGCAGCCCTAGACTCAGTCTTGGCCTAATTTCAAGAGGGATAACAGTTTCACCATAATCAGAGCACAGGGAGTTTCTGTTTGGGTTTTTTTTTTTAACCCACATGGAGATAAAATTACTGCATCCATTGAAACAGATAATGGGCTCAGCTTAAGAGGAAAAAAAGAAGATCTTTATGTTGTAGCATTAAAGAAGAATTAACCAATAGGACAACTTTTGGACAACCAGCCAAACAGAGTTTTGAAAACTGTTCTGGGCGGAGGTCAGTTTACATGTGGTTTGCAGGAAGGGGCTGTGAAATCCCCAGTCAAGCCCGCCTCTTAGTGGAAGGTTGCTGCTGCTCACCAGGAGCAGACATCCCAGGGAATGATTTCAGTGCTTTTCTAAGTATAGGAAGCTGCAAGGACCCAGGTTCATGAAAACATTTCTCCTGAAAATATCTTCATCTCTGAAGGCCAGTTCTGCCAGTTTTCCCAGAACAGAGTGCACTTCATCCCCTCAGGGCAGCTGTAGGTCAGTGACCGCAGTGACTAATGAGGAGGTTCTTGTAGAACTGGCTGGTGGGCAACATTCTTTATTTTTACAGTCCCTTCTCTTTTGGTCTTAATTTCAAGGTTTGGGAGGCATTTGTGACCAATTTGTCCCCCAGTGCTAGGACCTGGGAATGCCCAGGTCCGCCAAGGATTTCGTTGGTGGTGGACTACTCAATGTGCCGTCACTAGTCTAGACCCTGTAACAGTAGCCAAAGGTTTCTGGACTTTCTGTCTCGCTATTCTGTTACAAGCCAAGGAATGATGGCCCTTGGTTATTTCTTTCCATATCTGGAGTTACACAACTACAGTCATTGATCTTAAAAGACTAGGTATTTGGACAATGGTTTCAAATTATCGAATCATCAATTTGCTCAGAGGCTAAGTAAGACATACATCTGGTATGCAGGAAACTATCATCCTGTGAAATAGGCAGGACACAGGCAGTGTAGCTAGTAACATTTATAAGGAAGGTGATGCATGTTTAAACTAAACTTCCCTCAAGTGTGTCCCATTATCTCCCCAGTTGTCTGACCAGTCTGTTCTGTACCAATTGTTATTTTTAAGGGAAATGATATAACATTATTGTACATAAATTTTCACCAAAGATGCCTGCACGCACAAGGTGAATGGTGAGTCACCGCGATCCCTCACAGGACTGAGAAAGGAACCGTATGTTCCAAGGCAGTGGTCCTCAACTTTTTTGGCACCAGGGACTGGTTTCGTGGAAGACTGGTTTCCACAGACCTGGGGGAGAAGATACGAGGTGGAGATGGTTTCAGGATGATTCAAGTGCATTACATTTATTGTGTACTTTATTTATATTATTATTACATCAGATCATCAGGCATTAGATCCCAGAGGTTGGGGACCCTTGTTCTAAAATGTTACATGGGGACTTTCCTGGTGGTCCAGTGGATAAGACTCTGCACTCTTAATGCAGGGGGCCCAGGTTCAATCCCTAGTCAGGGAACTAGATCCCACATGCCACAACTTACGACCTAGCTCAGCCTAAATATATAAAATATATATTTAGAAATATACTAGAGTAAAACAGCACTCATCCTCCTCAGGGTGGATTACATTAAAAGGCATCAGGAATTGATTATATAGAGTAAGGAACTATCCATCTGTCTCCATGAGTTCAGCACATACTCCAGGAATTATTCCTGCATCCCAAGGACTCTACCCTGGACCACTTTCTACCTGGGAAAATCCTGTTTCTGAAATGAGCACCTCTCCAGATTCTTGATACACTCCTGCCCTTATGGGTGGGAGAGGGCTCAGAATAAAACAGAAAATACTCAGAATAAAATAGAAGATACTCACCAGAGTCCTCTGGCTGCCAGGATGGGTGGGCTTGGTGCCAGAGTCCCCACAGCCAGTACATATGAGAGGGAGACAGCCAGGCACTGAAATAAAACCTTTGTGATGCTGTGACCTCACCTCCCCACAGAACCACAATTATTATTTCACCTGTAGCAGCAATGGCAGTACACGCTAGGGGAGCTGAGAATGTTTTTAAGCAATTCATCCCAGTTCTTGACTACCAAAAACAACAACATGTCTAGTGAGTATCTCCCGAAAGGCCATCGGGGTATGTAAGAAGAGTCTTTTTCATGTCTGTGTCTCTAGAGTATTGAAGATCCTACAGAGAAAGATCAGGAAACCCTAAGGGCCGAGCCATGAGGGACTTCCAGCAAAGCACGTCTCTCACGGCATCCTCTGCTGTCCTGAGAAGTTCTGTTAAAGACTCTAGTTCTTTCCGCTCGCTCAGACCCCTCTCAAACTTCCAGACCCCTTCTAAGTTATGGGAAGAGAAATGGGATGACACAAAAGACTGAGAAGGACTAGTGAACGGGGTAAAAGTGAAAGGAGAAATGATGTCAAGAATTGAAATATAAAAACATTATAGACAGCCGGCCAGCAACAGATGACTGGGTAAAAAAGATGCAGGAATACTGCGGCTGCTAAGTCACATCGGTCGTGTCCAACTCTGTGTGACCCCATAGACAGCAGCCCACCAGGCTCCCGTCCCTGGGATTCTCCAGGCAAGAATACTGGAGTGGGCTGCCATTTCCACTACTCAGGCATAAAAAAGAATAACATTTGACATTTGCAGCAACATGGATATGAATGGACTTAGAGGGCATTGTGCTGAGTGAACTAAGAAAGACAAATACTAGATAATATTGATTATATGTAGAATGTAAAAAGTATAACCTCCAGATATAGAGAAGCTAGGTCTGAAGCAGACCTACAGATACAGAGAACAAGCTAGGGGTTACCAGTGGGGAGAGGGAAGGGGAGGGGCAAGATAGGAGTAGGGGAGTGAGAGGTACAAACTACTAGGTGTAAAATAAGCTACAAGGTATATTGTACAACATGGGAAATACGTTCAGTATGTTATAATAACTCTAAGTAGAATATAACCTTTAAAAATTGTGAATCACTATATTGTATCCCTGAAACATATAATATGGTACATCAGCTTTTCTATCCAAAAAAAATTAGATAGCATACTGTGTT